TAATGGAGTTATACAAAAGCGATTAAATAACTATTCGTGTCATGCAAAAGCAGTCAAATAGGTTGATACGTTACAAAGTAGGTCGCAGTACTGTTGCATTGCACATGGAAAAACTGAATACTTGAGCAGAGAAATGATAGATTTATGAGTGATATTGTCAATATTGTACAGAGATTGTTTTATTTATTATCAATATGCAGTATCTCATTAATTAATTAACAAGACCAATATTGTTACCTATATATCATAAGTAATACAAGTTTTATTTACCTAAGGAAATAAAAACAGCAAGTCCAAAATAAAGTAAAATATCATGCAATGGATGAGCATTTTTTTTTGTTTTATTTCTAAGTAACAAAAATTATTGTCATCGTTAACTTCCCGAAGGCGAAGTATATGTTTTCATCAAAAAATCCGATTCGCTAATTTTATGTTTTCTCGAATCGAATGAGACCAAATTTGGATAAAGTATGTGTGATTTTCTGCCGTAAATCCACGTTTTCTCAAAAACGGCCGGAACGATTTCAAAAATTTAAAAGCCATTCGATGTATCTCGATAAGCGCGACGATAGGTCAACCCGTTTCTTTGTAAATAGCAGAAAAAGGTCTTGATTGACAAAATAATAAATAGAGGAATGAAAAAAATAGTAGAAAAGTGAAAAACAATGTCTACGCAATTCTGAATCGATTTTGAAAATTCAAAAATCATTCGAAAGTTTTTGGTAAAGATTGGGCGAGACGTTTTCTTGTAATAAAGTGTTAAAAAAAATTTCTCCGATTTTCATGATTTTTATTACCATAGTCTTAGTTTTTAGATACCATAGTCTTCTAGATCAGGGCTTCTTAAAGTGGGACTCTACTAGAGAGGGGTCGCAAAAATCTGATTCTTTTCAATCATTATAAACAAAATTTTAATATTAGTATTATTAGGCAGATTATTTTCACAATAATTTATGGCATTTCAAGCTATGCTATTTGGCCGATATTTTTGATAAAATCAATGATTTGAATTTATCAATGCAGGGAGTCTGCGTTAATATGTTTATGTTAAAAAACAAACTTGAGGCCTTTGTTAAAATAATTGTTATATAGAAAAACAAAGTCGAAGATGGATCGCTCGAAATGTTTCCATTTACTAACGAGTATACAAATAATAACAATATTTCAAAAAATGATACTCCTATAACAAAAATTATAGTTAATCATTTCCCAATGATATCGATACATAACAATGAATTTGCAATCCATTTTCAATTGAGATGGAAGAAATTAATTTTTTAAACTTAAAAGCACGAGAAGAATTTGCCGAAATAACAAGTGATACTACCTTGGGCCTCAGATTTTTTCAAGTGCCTGTGCATGAATTTTAGATAGAAATCAAATCAGAATATCCCCTACTATCGGAAATGGCAATAAACAAGTTACTACCATTTTGTGCAACATATTTATGTGATTCAGCCTTTTCCACATTAACTTACATAAAATCAAAATACTTTTCATTTTTAATAAAATTGAAAATTGAAATGAAAACTTATTACGATCTGCACTAACTCAAATTAAGCCTAGATTTAATTATTTGTGTAAAAATAAACAATCACATCCGTCAATTATAATATATTATTTGATGTTAATAATATGTTTCTTTAAAAAAATGGTACAAAAGTTTATTTTTCTATTGATTATATAGAATAGTTTTTATGTTTTCTTATAAAGAAATTGTTCCAAAAGTTTATTTTCTCTATTGAATATATATATATATATATATATATATAGATAATATACGAGGTCTGTTCAAAAAGTACCCGGAATTTTCTTTTTTCAAAAAATATTTATTTATTCGTCTACATTAATGTGGTCCCCTTCAAGTAGTCCCCCCCAGATAGATATACACTTATGCCAGCGTTCTTTCCAATTTCGAAGCACCCTTGATATTCACTTTTTGATATGTCCTTGAGCACTCTCGGCGATTTTCTTCAATCGAGGAAAACCGCCGTCCTTTCATGGGTCTCTTCAATTTGGGAATAGGAAAAAGTCACACGGAGCCATATCTGGTGAATATGGAGGTTTGGGGCATGACTACGGTATTGTTTTTGGCCAAAAAATTACGAAAGCAACGACGAGTGAGCAGGTGCGTTATCGTGGTGCAACAGCCATGAATTGTTAATGAACTGATATGCCAACTTCATCAGCAACTTCTCTAATTGTGATTCGGCGATCATTCATAACCATTTTTTCTACTTCTTTCACATTCATCGTTTTTTCGTTTTTGTTGACGTGCTGGGTCGACCGGAGCGTTCGTCATCTTCAACGTCTTCGCGGCCATCTTGGAAACGCTTATACCACTCGTAAACACTTGTTTTTTTTCATAGCAGACTCACCATAGGCTTTTGTAACATTTCACACACTTTGTTACACTTTATTTCATTTTTTACGCAAATTTAATACAAATTCTTTGACTTTTCAATTCTTCCATTGTAAAAATCGCCGAGCTCAGAAAAACACGTCGAACTTAGCGACTACCACAGACAAAGTAAACAGTGAATATAGCTGAAAATTTCATCATACTTTAGGGGCATGTAACCAACACAATAAAAAAAAAATTTTGACAATCAGACACTCCAGACCCGCGAAATTTAAAAATTCCGGGTACTTTTTGAAACACCACCTCGTATATATATATATAGATCGTATATATTATATATTATTTTTATTACTTATATTATTTTTATTGATTTACGCCCGAATATTAAACTCAAATTAAACATATATATATATATATATATATATATATATATATATGTTTTGTCATCGTTTCCAATTATATATCTGTGATATGAATAGGTACATATTCTTTAATTCTTATTTTATTTACATCGTAAAATAGTGCGATATTACATCTACATCTACGGATAATATATATTTTATTATATGGAGTAGGGGGTCGTTTAAAATTTCCTAAGCTTGAAGGGGGTCGCTATATAAAAAAGTTTAAGAAGCCCTGTTCTAGATCATACTAAATTATTATGGCTCTACGACAAGTCGCTTAATTTTAGAAATTCGTCAAAGTTTACAAAAATTAGTATCGTTTTTTTGCCGTTTGTCAAAATTACAACTTTCATCGACGTTTGCTCAACAACGCCTAAACCGATTTTAAAATTGTTAAAACAAATTGATGTATTTGGATGTGGATTATCTTTTCTCAGTTTTGTGCGACGTTCGGCTGAGCCGTTTTTTTATAAATAGCAGAAATCGATTGTAAATAATCAAAAACACTTCGAAAGATATTTGTTGCGAATGATACTGATTACTTTTAGGTAAAAATCTACCGAGCCATTTCCTTGAAATTAACTGTTGAAAAAAAAATTTTTGTCGATTTTTATAAACTTTTTTTGGCAATAGATATCATGGTACTATAAAACATACTAAAATAGACAAATAGTTCAATGTTGAAAATTCATCAAAGTTCTAGAAAATATCATTGTCAAAATTTGTGTCAAAATCTGCTTTTGTAATATGTAATATAATTGATATTACTTGTAATATAATTAATATAATTACAAGTAATTAAATTGTGTCTAAGAAAATTCTATTCGAAACCGAATTGTTTAGATTTAATTGAAAGCGATAAATTTATTTTTAAAATAAACAGTTGTTTTCAATTTCGATTGATTATTTCAATTCTTACACATTTCGGGAAGTTCATTCAATTTGTCTTAAGGCTAAATGCCACTTTCAACTAGTTACAGTAAAGTTTTCTGGTTGCGATATGGTGTTAAGATTTGCTTTTAATACATCAGACTCAAATACAAGTTAAATCATGTACAGGGTGGGCCATTTAAATTGGAAGTATTTGTTTCTGAAAAATATATGAATAAGAAAAACAATATTAATTATTTTTATCTATTTTGTTTAAAGGACCTGTGTTATGGCTATTGTCAACTTCCCGGAGGACAAGTTTATGTTTTCATAAAAAAATCCGATTTGCTAATTTTTTGTTTCCTCGACGTTTCAAGCCATTCTGAATCGAATGAGACCAAATGCGTGTGTGTGAACAGACTTAGTTTGCAGACAGATTTAGTTGCCGTAAATCGACGTTTTCTCCAAAACGGCTGGACCGATTTTAAAAATTTAAAAGCCATTCGATGTATCTCGATGAGGACTAGCGTTTCTAGCCATAGGCGATGATCGGCCGGGCCGTTTCGTTGTAAATCGCAGAAATGTGAAAAAATTTTCGTCCACGTTTTAGCCCGCAATTCTGAATCGATTTTGAAAATTCAAAAACCGTTCGATAGATATTGGTTGGGAATCATGCTGATTAGTTTTTGGTAAAGATCGGCCGGGCCGTTTTCTCGTAATAAAGTTTAAAAAAAAATCGACGATTTTTATGATTTTTTTTTGACGGTATATACCATAGTCTTCTAGATCATACTAAAATATTACCGTCCTGCGACAACTCGTTTGGCTTTAAAAATTCAAAGTTCAAGACATCAAAGTTTGAGAAAATGAGTAGTTTTTTTTGACGTTTATTAAAATTAAAATTAGACGATTTACTTGGTATAACAATAGAGTAGTTGGTCTTGATGAACATACTAAACCATTAAAATTGTACGGAAACTGATTCAATTATAAAAATTATTGATTTGTGAAATTTTGCTCTTAGAAAATATTCCGAGTTAACGTGTTCGTTCGTTTTCAATTATGTGTAATAAATCCTCTCGGAATACTTCTAATCACTCATAAATTAATTTGTTTATTATTGATTAAGACGATTATTTACACATATCGGCAAGTTCATGTAACTTGCCTTAAGGCTAAATACCAATACCAACTAATTTGAAAATGAAATCGAGAAAATAAATCGTGTTGCTTAATGCTTCCAATTTGAATTGTCTATTTTTCACTTTGAGTCGCGTTTTCATACTGTTTAGAAAATATTTCATTTGCATTAGAATAACTGTTTAAAATATACCAAAATCACATTATTTTATTTCCTATTTCAGGCAATGCATTTGTGGTGAATGCAGCCCTGTCGGATCTTCTAATCAGCGGTCTTCTAGTGCCATCATCGGCAGTGGTCCTCCTGGCAGGAGCAGACGATTCCATAGCATTATGCAGATTTCAGTGGTTTCTGGCTTCTACAAGTTTTTTGGTCACCGCATTTACCATGGCCGTAAGTATAAAATTGATACTCGGCAAACACAATTTAAAAAAATAAATAAATTGCTTATGATATAAAATGATATTGTAATACTACTGAATTCAGATTCTAAAGTAAGGTAACGTACATAAGTTCACCTATTGCTTTGAACCAAAATATTATTATCTATAAATATAGGGTAGGGTGGAGCACATACGGCCAATTTGACTTTGAACAATTATATTGTGAAAACCAAACCAGTTACGTCACAACAAATAACACATATCAAACAAACAACTATCTGGTTATGTTCAGTAAAACTCCCTTAATAAAATAAATTTCATGGGTACATTTTTACAGAGATAGCACTGTATATAACCTTGATTTGGTATTTTGTCAGAAAGATTTATCGGTTGAGTAACTATTTATTTAATAATTAATTTACATTTTTGTTTACTATTTTTCATTATTTACACCTTTGTCAGGGTAAATGTGGTAAGAATTAAAGTGATGCTTATTATACATTATTTTTCCTCAAATTTCAAATATTGTTGGAGTGTTGTATCTTTTTACCCTATAAGATAATGTTGGAAAATAGTTAGAGACAATCATTACTTGATTATATTATTTTTGTTTTATAAAGGCGCGGTTTATAACTAGTTCAAGTAAGTAAAGACTATCATAGTGCAAATATGTAAAGTTGTTTCGAATTATTTGTAGTCTTACAAATCTTAGTTTTTAATTCTGTCTAACAGCATTTTTTTATTTGGAGGCCCGTGAAATCGTATCATTACAATTAAATATCACTATATAAATTTTAAATTTTGCCATATTGTTTTTTATATTTAAAAATGAACTAGTGACAAATAAAATATGATTACTCCTTTTTCATTTATACTTGATAATTTATAAATATCCATTAATCAAAATTAAAGATATATGAACTTGTCATTTATGAACACTGACTTATCAAATTGCAAATGAAGTTAAGAATTAAGAAAATATTTTCTATATGCTATTGTGTAATGTGGAGAACAAAAATTTATTTCATTATACTTATATAAAGCGTCTAATATTACATCAAATAAAGATAATAAAATATTCTGTTTCGATTGTTCGAACTTAAGTTTAAATTCTTGAACATGAGAACTGAATTGAAAACATACATTACGCGACAAATGGAAAATTTCTTGTTTAATAATTTATATAGTCTTCTTTATAATCATATTAGGGTTTATAAGTTCGAATGATTATCGTCATCCTGAATAATAAATTACAATGAGTACTCAAGTAGGACAGAAAAAATAAGGCGATAAAAGACACTTTAATATATAAATTTTAATAGTCTGAAGGTATAGTTTGTATTTTTACTTGAAACTAGAGTTTATATTATAAACTCTAGTTTTAAGTCATAAACTCTATTTATCATTCCAAAATCGGCATTCATGCTGCCTTCATCAAAAATTAAAAAATTGATCTAAGAAGTTCAAAAACTATTAAAAAATTAAATAGCCTTATTTATTTACTTAAGTATATACTGCATCTATACCAAAGATATATAATTAGTATAAAAAGTTTTATTTTTTTTAATAGCCCAATTACGGTTACAACTCATTCTCTTACAAAATAGTTAAATCATTAGGAACAATTTTTGGTTAATATTAAGTTAGGGATGAAGAAATCGATTATTTTTGGTTTAAAATTTTGGTTTATTAGTTTAAGGTCAACTTCGATCATTACTCCGATTTAATCGGCAATTTCGACGACCGGCCTACCTGTGCAAGGTGCATCTTTATACTCAAAAATTCCTGAATGAAATTTGCAAAACCAAAATTGCACATAATTGGCTGTTACAGTATCGTAACCATAAAAACCATTCACAATTTTAGTCGCCTGGATTGCATTTTTGCCTTTGTCAAAGAAAAACTGTGAAAAGTACCAAATTTTCTTTTAGTTTACTTCCATTTACAACACCCTATAAATCACTGCATGCACCCAACAAAATATAGCAAATGAATTTCTTTAGTGCGAAATGTCACTTTTCTAACGAGCATAAATCTGAAATTGTTTGATTCTATACTTTACGAAAAATCTGTCGATACAGAAAAAATAATGGATTTCTTTGACCCCAACCTAATATTAAAAGTTGTAATAACTTTATCCTGAAATGAAAACTATAGAACATTAAAATCACTTTTTTAACTTCTCGTAGGGTATGTTATAGTAATCGCAAAAAATCGAAATTGAAAATTTTTATATATTTTTACGTTTCAAACGTTTCTGAACATTTTGGCATACCTTAGAAAAAATGCATGCAAGTGTGTGTGTATCCATGTGTACATGTATTCGTGTATGTTTGTGAGTATATATGTGTGTGTTATATGTGCGGATACAAATTTTCGTCCATGATTTCGGGAACACAAGTCAACCAATTTGAATAATTAAAAACCATTCGATTTGTATTGATAAGGAGACGTGCTGATTAGTTTTTGGCGAAGGCAGGTCTAGCCGTTTTGAAGATGCCAGGCAAAAAGTGCCAAAAATGGTAATTGATTGTTTGAGAAAACTGAGCGTCCGATTTATATGATTTCAATTTGTATGATTTTATTTGTATTGACGAAATGAAGAATTGATATCATATCAAATTATCACATATTTAATAGATATTTCAATAATAATAACATTTTTTTTCACTTTTCTATAGGTTCCGTACCAACGTTTATCCGTTATACTGCGACGCGGCGCCCACGCGCTTCGATATTTTGTTTCTACGCAGCTAACGTATCGCGATTGTTTTGAAAAAAAAGTTCAAAATTTCCAAAATATTTCAAAGTAAAAAAATCAGATTTTTCAAAAAGGTCATTTATTTTCAAAAGATTTAAAAATCTCAAAAATCGTTTTTTTTTTTAGAGTTTTAGGAGAAAATTGAATCTTTTTTAAAAATTTAAATTTTTGGTGCAAGAAAGCTTAATTCAGTTAAGGCACGATGCCATGCACCACTAGTTCTCCAATGCTTCTACTTTCTATAACACAAATTCTAACAACAGTATAGTAGTAAAAAGTTCTTTTTTCATTAAATTTACACTTTTTTGGCTGAATCATTGGAGCGATTTACATGACGTCGTCGTTGATGCTTCGATAGTGGACTGTAATTTTTATTAATCGAAGAAATGCGAAATCCCCACGATGATTGTGCTAGAAAATGAAACTTCTCTTAGATTCACATTAAATTTATTCTATATACTATTTTACAAAACACCTCCTTATTCTTTGCCTGTTTATGCTAGACTGAATATTCATTTGAATTTCAGGCCCGACGGAATACATTTTATTGACATATTTTATAACCTAATTATATAGCCGTCGAACCTGGGCAGGATCGTCCCTGTTTACGGGATTAACAAACTTTTCCTGATCGTTATGTAATAATACTTTACAATGTCACACCAGATGTTCTGGTTTAAAAATTATCCAATCATTATGCATTAGTGATATTTTGGTAACAGGCAACATAATTTCGCATTGGATTAAACGTTAGAAATTTAAATAATCAAATATGTTTTTATTTGATATCCATCTTTGGCAAAATTATTTCCAAATTAAAATTGATTAAATACTAATATTCATACTAATTTAACTCACTTATTTATATTTAGCTCATAGCAGGAGAAAACCTATCCCGTGTTTATCCTGATCGACCATCCAACAAAGTCTTCCTGACACCGGCAAGGTGTGCCTGCTCGATAGCCCTGGTTTGGCTAGTTTGCGTCATGGTGTGCTCGGTGCCTCAAATCATGAAGAATCAGGAAGCTGAAGACCTTATTATAATAAAAGGCAAATCTCTCACTAGAGAAACCATGAACGATGGATTTCCTGGCTTAGATTATTGTGCCAGGAGATTTAGGAAACTGGGAAGACAGTTGGATGATACGGATGAAACGCGGGCGGGGCCTATAGCTTTATTGGTAAGTTAATTGATAATTAATTATATGTAGAAACATATAACATGTCTCGATTAGAAGAGTTTGTTTTTAAAACCTTTCCATTTATTTTATTTTTTATTTATTATTGATTTTATAGTTTTTTAAAATTCGTGCTTTGTAAATTGTATAGTAATTGGTGCATTATATTTCCGTGTTTTTTGTTTTTTCTTCAAATTATTTGTATGCACTGAGGATGGGTCAAATCAGGACCCGAAACGTTTGATAATAAAATATTTTACTTCAATAAAATAGTTTCAATTAATGGATGAACGCCCAAAAAACAACTTTTTTATAATATTTCACCATCTGAGAAAACCTTTCAATTTATATATCTATCTTATATATAAAAATGAATGGCAAAATGTGTTGGTAAGCGCATAACTCAACAACGCCAGGACCAATTTGGCCAATTTTTTTTAAATGTTCGTTGATATCCAAGGATGGTTCTTACGGCGAGAAAAAATCGAATAATCGCCGGGAAACCCTAAGGTCAGCCCTTTTCTTTTTCTCATGGAAACGTTTTCTAACTAAAACGTAGAAACAATTTGAGCTTTATTGCTATTATATAAAGTTCATATTAAATTACAAGCACACAATGTATACTCCTTCTGAACGATTATTCGGATTTTGATAAATCTTTCTGAAGTTTGTTAAGGAAATTTTGTAAGATGTATGTGATTATAAAGGAAAAAATTGTAAAAAACGACATGTCATTGTTTGCATTGAAAATTACCATCTGCCAAAAATATCAATTTACTTATAACAATGATTTTAATTTTAATTTAATTATGACAATATTAGAATACGTATAATAAATTTATGATTATGAATGACAAAAATAAAATGTCAACATTATTATTGCCAAAAAGCAGCCAGAGATTGAAATAATATAAAATACAGTATATGTATGGCAGATTGAATGATACACATATGAACAGGATATGACAAATTAATTCACTTAAAATATGAAATTAAGTATTAATCAGGGCCGGTCCTACCTTTAATGCGATGCATGCGAAAAATACGAGCGCACGCCTTAGGGGGCGCCAACACAAGATTTGGATATTAAATTTCAATATATATTTTTTTTCAATATATAATTTCTTTGCATCGTTTAATATAGTTATTATTTTTAGGTAAACGGTAAATACTAGTATATTATATTAAAAAATTGTAGACAAGGGTACAGGACAACGTATTTACAAATATTTCTAAATATTTACATATATTTCTTTCCATTAGGTAACAGTATGCGTCCCATGTAGTATTGCACTTCTCCTGCACATTTGGGCGCGCCATAGAGTCTCCAAGGAACAGCAACGCGCCTGCTCTCGCAGTTCTGAGCACAAAAGTCCGGTAATTTTAACATAATTAGAAATAATATTTTTGTAATTTTCTCTTTCTTCAATATTAAAATATAAGAAGTTTCATTTTTAAATCAGACAAAGATGCAACAGCATCGCCGAGTGTAAAAAGTGTACCTCTATATTTTTTATATTTTTTAACTAGAAAAGTTATTTTCAATAGTTATAAAGTTATTATAAAATTTGACTTATTTAGTCAAATGAATAGTAGCGATTTTTTTAGGATTTTAATAATTATATAATTTAATAAATATATAATAATGAAAGTTAAAAATTTAGGGTTTAAAGATAAAAACATATGGGTTTATTCACTTCCCGAAAAAAAAGTTCGTATTTTTGCAAGAAAATCCGATTTGCTAATTAACTTTCTGTAGGGTAAGTTATAGTAATCGCAAGAAAATCAAAAATGAAATTTTTCATATATCTTTGCGTTTCCAAGAATTCTGAGTTATTTGGCATACCTTAGAAAAAATCGTTGTATGTGTGTGTGTGCGATACCAATTTTCGTCGACGATTTCAGGAACACCGATCATCTGATTTGAATAATTCAAAAAACATTCGATTCGTATTGATGAGGAAACGTGCTGATTAGGTTTTGGCAAAGGCAGGTCTAGCCGTTTTGAAGATACGAGGCAAAAAGTACCAAAAACGGTAACTCAGTTTTTAAGAGAACGGAGCGTTCGATTCTAATAACTCAAAAAACATTTTACTTGTATTGACGAATGAAGAACTGATTAAATTTTGGGAAGGTAGGCCTGGCGGTTTCGTTGATCTAGTAGAAAAAATTTTAAAAATCATTTGGCGGGCAAAAATGATCATTAAACATATGCATATCAAATTATCATATATTTTATGGAGATTTTAATAAAGTGTATCAATCTTGTGCTTTGAAAAAAAGTTGAAAATTTTCAAAAAATTTCAAAATTAAAAACACTTTTTTCCAGAAATTCAGTTTTCTCAAAAGTTTAAAATTTTCTCAAAAATCAAATTTTTGCGAGTTTTTAAAAAAAATATTTTAAAAAAAAATTAATTTTTGGTAGGTAAGTTTCAGCAATTTGCCTTAAGGCACGATGCCATACACCTTTAGTTTTATTTTTGTTTTCTCGACATTTCAATCTTTTTGAATCATATGAGACCTTTAAAAAGTAGTGTGTATATGGAACCGATTTTTGCTTTTCGTCTTTCTCGAAACTAACTCGATTTGTTCTTTCAAAAACGGCTGAACTGATTTCAAAAATGTTATCACAAGAAAAGTGCAAAATAATTGGTCCACGATTTGACCAAAACCGATTTTGAAAAATTAATTAAATGATACCATTTGGGGATCATGATTATTTTGAATTAGCAAGATTGGGGCGAGCCCTTGCCTTCGTTTTTAAATGTT